CCCTCATTAACCCCTCATTAAGGTCTCATTAAGGAGATGAGGTCAAAGCCCTGTGCACTCCAAATCTCGTTAATTAACACGTTTATTAGTGATTAATTAATGTCTTATTAACTCCAATTAACTCATCTTTATCCTCTAATTAGCAGCTTAATTATCCCATTCATTAACGCCTCGTTAACCCCTCATTAACGGCTCATCAGAGGTCAAGGCTCTGTGCACTCCAAAGCTCATTAAGGCGTTAATTAATGATTAATTAGTGTCTGATTAACTGATAATGATAGCCCAATTAACGCCTTCATTAACGCCTTAATTAACCCCTCATTAACCCCTCATTAAGGGCTCATTAAGGAGATCGAGGTCAATGCCCTGTGCACTCCAAATCTCGTTAATTAACACGTTTATTAGTGATTAATTAATGTCTTATTAACTCCAATTAACTCATCTTTAACCCCTAATTAACAGCTTAATTACCCCATTCATTAACGCCTCATTAACCGCTCATTAACAGCTCATCAAGGTCAAGGCCCTGTGCACTCCAAATCTCGTTAATTAAGGATTAATTAGCGTTAATTAATGTATTTCAGGGAGATTCTGGTGGAGGAGAGCAACGTGCAGAGAGTGGATTCACCCGTCACGGTGAGTGCGGAAAAACGGGGAAAAAACGGGAATTTTGGGGGAAAAATTGGGAATTTTGGGAAAAAATGGGAAAAAATTTAGGGATTTTGGGAAAAAATTGGGAATGTTGGGGAAAAGTTTGGGAAAATTGAAAGGAAAATTGGGAATTTTGGGAAAAATTTGGGATTTTTGGGGGAAATTTGGGGATATTGGGGAAAATTTGGGAGAAAATTTGGGAATTTTGGGGAAAAATTTGGGAATATTGGGAAAAAATTGGGAATTTTGGGGAAAAAATTGGGGGTTTGGGGGAAAAAATTGGGAATATTGGGAAAAAATTGGGAATTTTGGGGAAAAAATTGGGGGTTTGGGGGGAAAAAATTGGGAATTTTGGGGAAAAAATGTGGGAATTTTGGGGAAAAAATTGGGAATTTTAGAGGGGATTTTGGAGGAAAAAATTGGGGATTTTGGGGGAAAAAATTGGGAATTTTAGAGGGGATTTTGGAGGAAAAAATTGGGGATTTTTTTGAAAAAATGGGAAAAAATGTGAAAATGTTGAAAAACGGGAATTTGGGAAAAATGGGAAAAAATGTGAATTTTGGTAAAAATGGGAATTTGGGGGGAAAAATGGGAATTTGGGGAATTCTGGGAATTTTGGGAAAAAATGGAAACTTTGGGAATTTTGGCAAAAAAATGGGAAAAATCAGAATTTGGGAAACAATTGCGGATTTTGGGGGAAAAAATTGGGAACTTTGGAGGAACAATTGGGGAAAAAAAATGGGGGGAAAATGAGAAAAATTGGGAATTCTTATGAAAAATGGGGAAAAAAGGGAAAATTGAGGAAAAAACTTGGGAATTTTTGGGAGAAAATGGGGAAAAAATGGGAAAATGGGAAAAATGGGGATTTTGGGATAAATTTGGGAAAATTGGGCAAAAAAAAAGGAAAATTGGAGAAAAAATGGGAATTTTGGGGGAAAAAATGTGGGTATTTTGGGGAAAAAATTGGGGAAAAATGGGAATTTTGGGAAAAAATAAAAAATTTTGGGGAAAATTTGGGAATTCTGGGGGTTGAATTTAGGAATTTTGGATTTTGGGGGGAAAATTTGGGGATTTTGGGCTTTTTTGGGATATTTTGGGTGATTCTGGGCTTTTTGGGGCTTTTTTGGTTTATTTTGGTTGGTTTTGGTTAATTTTGGGATAATTGGGGTGATTTAGG